ACACATTGTACAGTTTAAATAGCTTACTGTTTTACTTATCAATTATACTTCAATAAAACTGAAAAATAGAATTTAAAAAATGAAGCCTTCTCACTAGCTACATCCCAACTCTTCACCAAGGTAACCTCTACTTGACTAATTTCAGATATTATCCTCTGGTAACTCTGTCCCTTCCTGAGCTCCAAGATATATTGTGCATAATAGATTTTTCTTTGCCTCATCCTATTATCTTATTCATGTGACCGTTTTAAATCTGATCGCTTTCTCACATTGTCTTAATCGTTTGTTTACTTGAATGAAATCTGGGAACTTCCTGAGGAAAGCTTCCATTATGTCCATCATTTTATTCACTATATTAAGTACATTATTTAGAATATAGTAATCCTTAATAGTTTGTTGAATTAATGAATTGAAATAAATAAATATTTTCCAATAAATATTTCTGGTATGGGATTGCTATCTTTTGGGATAAAATTAATTAAAATTCATATAATCAAAACCCCTAAAAACCAAAATAGACAATTTTACTTATATACTAGTATCCTATGTAATAAAAGCCTAATATGCAAATTGTCCCCTTGGGCAGTCATTCCACTGGGAGTTCGACCACTTGCTATGACGTGTGTAGATCACCAGGGGGCGACACAGAACATGGTGGGCGATGGCGACACAGCACTGGCAGCGGGCAGCAGTGGAGGCACTGCCAGCCCTGATGGGCCCAAAGAGAGCGGGACTGCTGCTGGATGGTGGAGCAGGTGAGCGGGCATGGCCAGGCCAAGGCAGGTGCGAGCAAGGGCCCAATCACCCTGCCAATCACCCTGCAGATGGCAACCAGCAGTGGCAGTGGGGGGGTGGGGGCCGCCTCCTGGCTCCAGGCGCTGAGGGAGCCAGACAGGGGGGCCCGGCCCTGCTTGATCACCCTGCAGGCAGAATGGTGGCGCCGGTGTGGGGGCAGCACAAGGCCAAGGCAGGGTGCCAGGAAGGGTTGCAGGGCTACGAGGCTGGGGTGTGAGCTGGGGCTGCAAGGCTGGGGGCATGAGTGGGTGCCCAATTCCCACAGGCCACCCTGAGAGACCCCCCCACCTGTGCACAAATTCGTGCACCAGTCCTCTAGAGTGTATATATATATATATATATATGTATATATATATATATATATATATATGTTTTGATTCATGTAATTGATCTTACTGAGTCAGTGATTTAAATTTTTGTTGCACAAAAAAGAATATTACCTCAATCTGAATAACTATTTATAGTGATACTAGAGGCCCAGTGCACAACATTCGTGCACTGGGGGGTTGGGGAGCCCTGAGCCTGGCCTGCATCCTCTCACAGTCCAGGACCCCTCACTCCTTATGGCCCGCCTGCAGTGGAGGTGGGAGAGGCTCCCGCCACTGCCACTGCGCTTGCCAGCTGTGAGCCCGGCTTTCTGGCTGAGCAGCACTCCCCCTGTCGGAGTGCACTGACCACCAGGGGACAGCTCCTGCGTTGAGCATCTGCCCCCTGGTGGTCAGTGCACATCATAGCAACTGGTCGTTCCGCCGTTTGGTTGACTGCGTATTAGCCTTTTATTATATAGGATTATTCTTTATCTTAATAAAGCACTAAAATTCCCCAGAATGAACATTTCTATTTATAGCCCAGACTGGTTAAAACTCTCATGCTTTCTCTCCTATTTTTAAAATGTCTCTTTCTTAGCCAATAGGGTTTCAATTGGGGAACCTGGGTTCCTTCTGTAGGAACTGCTAACTGTGTACCTTCTGCGGACGTTAGCAGGGGCTCTTCTCTTGTAATGCAGGGTTGCATCCAAGCCCTTCAGACGGCCTACATTCTCACAGTTCCAGAGGGTCAATAGGAAGGGAAGTGATGATGTCACTTTGGTGAGGCTCCATCACTAGGAACTGTTGCACACTCATGTATAATCCAACTTTGATAATGAAATCAGCCAGAATTTTCTCTCCCAGTTATTTCAAAATTATCATTCCCAGACCCACACAATGACATTCCTTTATGCAAAGCTTTTTCATCATAGAACACAAATTAAAACTGTGCAGAATGGGTAAGCATGTATAAAATCCTCAAACATTTTAAAGCATGTTTAAAATAAAAACTATTGTTTCCTATATTGAAACAAAGATTGAGTAAAACAGGAATTGAAATTTTACATACAATATTTATTACTAGCTTTAATGCTACAAATTATATTTAAACACACACAAAACACAACAACTGTAACAAAAGCCAATCAAACAAACAAATGATAAGGTGGATAATATTTTAATTGCTTCTTGTTTTAAATGGAATTTACACCTTGCTTCAGAAACAATACTTATATTTTAGATAATTACCAAAATTGAACAGCAGAGGGCAGAAAGTAGCAAACTGTTTCTTGATACACACTGTTCTATTTAACAGTACTCCTGGCTTTGAAATTTTCAAAATAGATTTTATTAATGACCAATTTCAGATCTATTCTTGAAACAAAAATTTCCTAAACATTCAAAATAAATTACAGCATTTAACATTTATTTTCATGACCATTTAGTTCAGTCAATTTAAATTTATTACATTTATATTCACAGTATTCTATGTTTGAAAAATATAAGCTGTATAAATATAATAGTGAATTTGAAAAGGTTATGTGAATTATAATAGTAAAATAATTATTCTGTGTTGCAGGAAATATACCTAGATATATTGTGAAAAGTACATACAAAACTACCTTGTGAAAGAAACATTAGTAGAATAGTAGTTGAATTACAAGAAATGCCTTCTAAAATTTTTATTTATGTTTTATATATAAATTATAATTGGTCAGTAAACAGTAATGTTTACCCTGATTTCTTACACATTATTTACCAGAAAAATGCTCTATGATTCAGCAAACTCTTATTTTATACTATTTGTTTCTATAGAATGTAATTCAGGCAATTTTGAGTTCATTGTTGCCCTATACTTTGAAATAGTTTTTGAAATGTCTTTTTAAAAAATTAATTTACATTGAACTACACTTTAAACATTACTGTTTCTCCATATCTAAGCTCCTATCTCTTTTGCTCTCTCACTTCTTTCATTCCAAGGTACTTTGTATAAAATCAAAGGTTGTCTTGTAAAAAAATTAAATGGAAACAGGAAATATCTGAAAAAGTATTTTATGCCTTACATCTCAATTATGGATTGAGTAGATAAGATTTGTTCAATTATTCTTTCAAATTGGATAAATATTGTCTCTCTTACTACTTTTCTTCTTACTTAATTTTAAAAGACTAAATGCACTTTAATTCATAGAATTCATTTCATATACAGTGAAGTGTTTATTAACAGACTAAAATAATTTATTGGGGATAATACTGTGAGGTATTTTTTTTTTACTTGTAGGCTCTACGCTTAGTAATAAATTATAAATATGTGCACTTCCTGCTTGAGGAATACATATCAAAAAACAAAAACAGGGAAAACCATTTTCAAAATGGGAAAATTGAGGCGCAGGGTGTTTAAGCGGCAAGTATTCAATAATACAGTCAACACAAGGCTGAAGGAATGATAGTCACCTGATGATTGCACTGGAAGGCAGTATGATAGACTGACTTTCTTCACATTCTGAAATATTAGCAAGTTATCCCTTTATTATTGTGCGCTCTGATTTCCTGCCTCCTGGAAACAGTCCCTTGTACTCAATCTTCTTTTATTTCTTTGTTTAAACCACAAAAGCCATTTACTTTCGTGACAAATTTCTGGGACAGCAGAGGGAATTTCCAGAGCAGGTTCCCAGCATGGGTTTAGCAAGCAATTTCACATGAAGTGCTCACATTCCACACGGGGAAGACCAGCCTGCAGTCCTCCTCACTAACTCCTATCCCACAAATGTTTAATCCCTACCCTCATCTTTTTTCCCCAGTGGTCTGGAGCTCGTGGGTTCTGAATGATAACAGCTTGCTTTCTGTGGGCAGTGATGTTTTCAAACTGACAGCCAAAATGCGCTGGCGCATTCGGTTTCTGTGTGTCTGGGAAAGGGTCTGCCGCTCAGAGCCCTTTCTAGACATGCTTCAGCTTCTGATTTCTTTTTCTCAGGAGCCTTTCCTTCTTGAAACGAAGGGAAAGTCTGTTTTCAATCCGTATGTAAAAAAGGGCTTCCATGGAACCAAGCCTACACGTGTCTCCTACAGGTGAGAGTCTTCCGTGAAGGCTGTTGAGAGCTCCCCTCACCCAGCTGGCTCGGCACGTTGGCATCACAGCCCAGTGGAACACAGGCTAAAAGACTGGATTTCCATGCACAGTGATTTCAAAGGTTCAAGCTCTACACGTAGAATGTGGGGTTTTTCTCTGGATCATGGCTATGTCATCTTTAGCTAAAGTTCACAATTTTGGAACACTTCTTCAAGGGGTCTTTTGTTTGCTTATTTGCGTTTTGGCTCCATCAGGTGAGGTGAATAGCAGCGTTTCGATATCCCTAAGTGGGTTTCACAGGTTCTTGAAATTAAGGTTCTTGAAATTAAAAGTCAAACATCACTTTTTAACACAAAACAGCTGGGCCTGGTGACAGACCGCTTCACTGCCAACAACAATTAGCAGTTCGGCTTCTTCTGCACAGCAGCCGGAAATCAGCTTTGCTGCATTTGGTCCGGGCTGGAGCATCTCCGCGGCAGCTACACAGGCGACACAAAGGTAGCGCCAGGCTGGGCGCTGTCCTCGGTGCTGAAAGGCAGGAGCGAGCGGTGGGCGCGACCGCTCGCGAGACCCGAGGTCTCGCCAAGGGAAACCCGCGGCCGGGCTCCGAGCCGCGCTTTCTCAGCGCCGCGCACGCGACGCGGCCCGGGCCGTGCAGGGTGCGGGTTTCGGGGCGGGGGAGGGGTGGGCGCGCGCGCCAGCAGCCTGCTGCGAGCCGCGCACGCGCGTCCGGGACTGCCTGCCCCTCTCTGTGACTTGCGTGTGTGTATGTATGTGTGTGTCTGCTGTGTGTGTGTGTACGCGAGCGCGCGCGCGTGAGAGAGAGAGAGAGAGAGAGAGAGAGAGAGAGAGAGAGAGGAGGGAGAAGAGAGCGCGAGAGAGGGTGAGTGTGTGTGAGTGCATGGGAGGGTGCTGAATATTCCCAGCCCTGGGACCACAGCGGCAGCTCCGCTGAAAACTGCATCCAGCCAGTCCTCTGGACTTCAGGAGCTGGGACAGGGAGCAGGGCATCAGCAGCCACCAGCTGGACCTGGGAAATAGGAATTCTTCTGCCTCCACTTCAGGGTTGTAGCAGCTTGGTGCTAAATTGCTGTTCCCAGAATGCGGAGGATCTAATGTGCTGAGGAAAACGGCCACAGAAGGAAGAGGAGGAACAGGGGGAAAAGGGGGATATTTTGTGGATGCTCTACTTTTCTTGGAAATGCAAAAGATTATGCATATATCTGCCCTCCTTCCTCCTGTTCTATGGGGACTAATTTTTGGTGTCTCTTCTAACAGCATACAGATAGGTAGGTATCCTTTGTGCTCTGCTTTTGAATTGTGCATAATTTGGTAGTAATCTTTGTTCACAGTGAACAAATTAATTCATGTCATGTAGACTTATGTCATACCTTGACTGCATTCCAGATTTAAACTGCCTAGAATATACATGTTTTTTCTTAGGATGAAGCAAAGGGAAAAGACGATGCCTTGATACAATAGAGGGGAGGGGGGGGGGGAATCTCATTTCTGCCCTCCAGGTTTTATTAATTCTGCCTTAACATTTTCCCGTTTGCTCAGATTCTCTAGGGGTCTGAATGCAAAGCTCGTGATGAGGAGGAAAGGCAAATGTTTCTGGCCACCTTACCTTGCCCTCAGACTCTGTGCCTTGACTCCTTGGTTACTATTTGGATGTTTGAGCCCCAGCTACCAGAGCCCTCTCATGTGCTTATGCCGCTTATTAGCGTGAATAAGAGACTCCTGGGCTTAGGGCACCAGCGGGCTGCTCTCCTTTTCCTCCCGGGCACTGACACGATTCCCCTGCTTGGTGTTTGTTCTTTGCAGGGGGGCTCTTTCCCAGGGGCGCAGATCAAGAATACAGTGCATTTCGGGTAGGGATGGTTCAGTTTTCCACTTCGGAGTTCAGACTAACACCGCACATCGACAATTTGGAGGTAGCAAACAGCTTCGCAGTCACCAATGCTTGTAAGTAATGAATATTCATGCCTTTCAGGCGCCGCACGCGGAAAGCCAGCGAGTGTGAGTGCGGGGTGGTGTGTGCGTCTTTCAGTGTGTGGGTGTGAGTGACGGCACACGCGCGTGCGTGTGACAGCGGAGGGGGAGAAAGTGGCTGCACTCTCGGGGACCCCCGCTGGGGGGGGGGGGGTTGAGGAGGAAGCGAAAGGAATTGAAGAGTGTGCGCACTGGAGAGGTGGGGTGGGAGTTGGAGCCGGGGGGCTTCCTTAGGTTCAGGGGTTTCTAGCTTATACCGATGGCTCCTCCCGGCCCCTTCCTTCCCCACCTTGCGCGCCTGGTGGCACCCTGCCCCCAGAGAACACGTTGTTCCCCAGGGCGCGCCGTCGGGCTTTTGGGTAGATCCCACCGGGGATTGCCGGAGCCCAGGCAGCTGCAGCTTCGCCTGCGGCTCTGGTGAGGATCTGCGGCCCAGGGTTCACGCTACAGACGCCGTGAGCCCGGTGTGATCCGCCTCGGACAGGACTAGTTGTGAAATGGTTCCGGAGTTGGGCTCGGGTCTGTTACATAACGCCCCCCGGAGGGGCGCGGGGCGCTGCGCGGAGAGGCTGGCGCAAGCCCGGGGGCTCCCCAGCCCAGCACCGTGGAGCGGGAGCGTGCCCGTTTCTCGCCGCTCCGTTGGCCATTGAAGGGGCAATTCCGCCCGCGAGGCCGCGGCCAGCTCGCCGGCCGGGTGCGCTTTGTTCTCAGGTAGCCTGGCGCCGGCAAGGGCAGCGAGAGGAAGAGGACCTGAACGCAGTTAGATCCGGCTGAGTTTGAAAAGCTGGAGAAGTCTCTCTGATCAGCCATTTTAGTCTGTGCAGTTAGTTATCCATACTAGCCCTCTCACGCCGCGCGGTGCTGCGGACCACGCGATGAAGCTCTCTCAAGGCTACAAAGTGATGGAATCCAAGCCATTAGGTCTCCACAGGGTTCAATGGAATAATCCCGGAGCTCCAACCCCCGCGCCCGCGTGGGCTGTGCGGCGCGGCCACGGTACCTTCCTGCCCTTTTCCCAGCAGCTGCCATCATTTCCTGCCGAATGGGCTGGGCTGATTCTTCCCTGATTTGATGTTTGCAGTTTGTATTTCATAGTTCACAATTTGGAGGGGGCTTTGCAGATGGCGCACCTCCCATTTTGGCTACAGTGTGAAGGAGCTAGTGGAAAATTACCGCAGAAAAAAGCCCAACTGCTCTCTTGCCACTGTAGGCAAACAACTGGTGCCATCCCACTTCCTCATATTAAGTCTTAATCATATTAACGATGGGTTAGCTGGGTTATCATATCAGGAACATTATCAACTCATTTTGAAACCGCTGTCACCCGGATGATTAAAGATATGAAATTTTCTTTGACCATTAGAGCAAGATCATTATGATACTCCTATTAGCTAGATGCCTGTGATTAAATTGTTTATAAAGACCCTATTTAAGAAGGTTTCAATGCTACAAGTTTTCTTCAAATGTTGATACCAAGTGAGAAAAGAAACAGGGGGAGGGGGTGTGGGAAGGAGGGGTAAGGAAGGAGAAAGATAGAGACTCTTAAAGTGGATTTGCAGCTTCAAAAAAACCTAAAAATATAAGACTATCTTGGAAAATCTCTCTCTCTCTCTCTCTCTCTCTCTCTCTCTCTCTCATTCACTATATACATGATATATAGTTTAATTTTTGAAGATTTTTATACTTGACCTATTTACCTACCAGATTTGTATTCATTTGATTTGGTATTAAGTTCCCAGTGTTTTTTCCTGAATTATGACTGACATACAACTGTGCTAAGTACCTAACTGCATTTCATTATATACTAGTGTGAAAATGCTTTGAAAAGTAATGAACCTACTGGCAGTATGTAGTTTTTTAAAATGAGGTGAAAGTAATTGAAAACTCTACTCTTTGAAAATGGTCAATGATTGAGAAGTTCGCTCCTTGGTGAAAATAGTAAGAGGACCGACTGAGATATAATGGGTGTGGGTCCACTGAACAAAATGAAAATTCCTTGACTCGAACAAATGCCGGATCACTGTATTGGAGCTTTGTAAAGATGAAAGGTTATGGTTAGTTTAGGTTAGTTAACTAATTTAGGTCTTCAGTCTCAATATTTTTAAATAGATTTGTTTTTTTTTATAGAAATTTTATTGAAATAGAATGTGCAGACAGGAAATGTAAATGTATTGAACACATGTATAACTCAAAGAACTTCCACAGAATGATACATCCATATAATAAGGACACGGATTTCATTTACACACACACAATTTGTTTGACTACAGTCCTTGAGAAAAATAAATGAAAGTGACATCTTCATTTTGCACACATTTGTTTTGTTTTGCTCAGAAAATGAAGCTGAAATTAAAATGTACGTGTCTCCAGATCCACAAATTACTCCTCTATGGATTATTACTCTAGGACACTAAAACAAATGATGGGGAGGAACTGAATGCATTTTCAAGGTTCCCTCATGGGACTTCAGAATGGTGGCATTTGCAACATCCATGTCATAAGTATCTTACTGATTGCTGAAGAGAACTACTGAGGCACTATTATAGAAGAGAGCTCATTGGCTAGGATTTTCTGGAGTTGACATTGACTAGGCGAATCATTTAACATTTGCGTGGCTCAGTTTCTTTATTCTTTTAGGAATTTCAAAATCTGGAGATTGTAAAATGTTTGTATCTTTTTTTTGCATAAGGCTACAAAAAATGTAAAAATAGTTTAACTCTTTTCAGAGAAAAAGATGCTTATATAAAACTATAATTACAAAGTCAGCAATCAAGAAATGAATGGAAATCTCTAATATCAAATGTGTCCAGATGAGTCTTGATCATTTATATCCTGCTCAAGATTTTTCTCCAGTGTTTAGCTGTGTTTTCTTGCCTTTTTAGTCAGGGGAGTCCACGTTTCTGTGTGGAAGCAGCAGCATCAAATATGTTGACAGCTAAAACCAAAATGACTTCCTCTCATTTCTCCCAGAAATCGAAGGAAGTCTATTCTCAAACTCCATTATTAAATATATGTCATCAATAAGTGTTCAGAAAGGAGCTTGTTCTCCTAGTTAAACCGTACAAATTGCACAGGATTAAGTTTACATATTAAGAAAGTGGCGTTTCATACTTGAATGATTTCAAAGTACAAAAGACATTCGTTTGCTAATTTAATTTTATTTCTGAGATGGAGGAACTTATTTGGAATTGCTGAGGTTGACAACCACTTAAGGATCCAGCAAGAGCTACTGAGTGGGTGAAGGTTATGCAAATGAAATGAAGTCATTATATTCTGAAGTGGGTAAAATGACTGTGCATGGCACTGAACTCCCCCATCCTTCTCTTTCACAGTCACAGCGGGATAATGCAAGAACCTATTTGTTCCCATGGGTACCTGAGGAAATAAAGACAGATTCCAGTTTCTTTTTTCTCTCTCTCTCCTTTCCTGTCCCCCACTTCGCCCCCACCTGCCTCTCCTTCCCCCTTTCCTGTCATCCTCCTTCCTTCCTTCGTAGGTACAGATAATGGGTTTTCAGTCTTTTTCCCTGAAGGCTGTTCAAACAAAAACATTCATTATGAGAATATGCAAACCATAAAATTGGAGAAAAAAGAGACTAGCTTTTGAGCATGATTGTTCAACAGTTGAAACCACAGTGATGGGCCTCAAGAATTTCTTTCTCCCCACTCCCTCCCATTTTTATTGAATGCCCTCTAGTTGTCAGAGACTAAATGAATGTTTTTCTTATATTAATTCATTTTTTTTCAACCTTTCTCCTCCGTGTCCTTTTGAATAGTTTTCCAAGAGTTCCAGGCCTGTGCACTGGCCACTGTGGTCTTGTCTAAGAACTTTAGTATGAGGATGTGAAGATGGTCTAGTAGTTCTTACACAAAAACAGTTTATTGCAGTAATTCAGAATTGTCATGAAAACAATAACTTTGATATTGCATATGTATTTATACCACATAGTATATATTGTTAATAAAATCAACAGATTTTAGAAAAAAACCCTAAATACTATTGTATTCTAAAACAATTTAATAAATGTTAATGTTGTTGTCATTACTAAACCGTGTTTAAAATAAAACTGTCTATGCCGAAACCAGTTTGGCTCAGTGGACAGAGCGTCGGCCTGCGGACTGGAGGGTCCCGGGTTCGATTCCGGTCAGGGGCATGTGCCTGGGTTGCGGGCATATCCCCAGTGGGAGATGTGCAGGAGGCGGCTGATCGATGTTTCTCTCTCATCGATGTTTCTAACTCTCTATCTCTCTCCCTTCCTTTCTGTAAAAAATTAATAAAATATATATATTAAAAAAAATAAAACTGTCTAAATGTAAACATGATTGTTTGGTCCCATAGGCTTTTGGAATTTAAAATAAGTATTAGATTTCTTGCTCAAATCTTTCTATTTATTTCATGAGTAACTTTGACAGATAACTATTCATCTATTTAATAATAATTTAATAATGTTATACTTCAATTCCATAAAAACAAATCATAAAATATTACATTTTAAAGAAATAGATAAAAATCTACTTTTTCTCTAAGCCAGCAGATGGAGATGTTGGAGAAAATATTGTTCTTTCATAAAACTGTTGCGCACACTGAATACCTTTTGAAACGCTGCAAAAAAATTATTTAGGAAAACAATAAAAATATACGTAAATGGCAGCTACTTAAAAAAAAATCATTTAAAATGCTGTTTGAAAGATAATTCCTGATGCCTTTTAACAACAAAGTGCATTCAATTTTATTTTTAAAATGGATTATTTTAAATATTTTTGTAAACTTGAGCTATAAAGCCATTCAGAAATAGCACTGATTGTAAATCCTCTTGGAAGAGAGAGCATTCTAAAATAATATGATTTTAGCTCTTTAGCCTTGATTCTCCAGATAATCATTTAAAAGGTGTATTTCTTATCATTGGGTTTTGGTCATGAATCTCTGAGATTGTGTATCTGTGTTCATCTAATTAATTAATGTCTCTTAAGCCT